AGAGAGAGAGAGAGCAAATGTGTAAAAAAAATTATATAAATAATATTTAAAAGTATTTAAAATATTAGTAATTAGAAAGGTAAAATTTAGATTTAAAAAAATCTAAATAGTTAATGGATTTATAGTAGTAAGTAGACTTTTATTTATTTATTTTTAAAGTTGTTACGATAGCTGAGAGATGTGATTTTTTGACTCGTGGAGATGAAATTTTGTAAGCTGGGTTATGAAATTTTCCTAAATTCGTCCATATTTATGCAATGAGTTTTTTGAGCTGGGTATATAGATTTAAAATTGTAAAAAAAAAAACTTTCATAAATCATTTGATTTGGTATTTTCAGAGAGATTCTTTAATTTAAAAGTGTAAAATAAATAAATAAAAAAAGTACAACTGAAAATGTTACAACAAATTGTATGAGAATTAAACTAAATTTAATTTTGTAGGATGCATTAAATATTGATTAGATTTTATATGTAAAATAAAATAAAAAAAATAAGTGGAATAGTTTTACGTGTTGCAATATTTTATATTTAAAAATAATTAAAAAATATTCTTTTACGTGTTGCATACCAAAATTTTAGGAACTACATGGATATTCATAAATTAATATTGGATACCCAATATTTTAGAAACTAATTAAATGCTAATTTGATTTGCATACCCAAAATATTAGATGCATTAATTAAATACTTGATAAAATTAGAAACTCATTAATTAAGTTTGACTTTTCTAACTACTATATTTAGTAAATAGGATTCCTTTAATATAAGTATAGATTCAAAACGTGTTGAGCCTATGTGTTAGATTCTCACGCTTTGGATGCTAACATGGCGAAAATCTATGTTTCGTGATGTTTTTATATTATTTTTGCTCTGGAGTTAGGTTTTTTTTTTTTTTTTTTTGAGCTCTAAAGTTAGGTTTGGTATTAGACATAAATAACTTTACACATATATTCATTAACTCAACATCCATGTTGTTCATGGGTGTTAGTACTAGTAAATTAATAAGACAGAACATATGTGAAAAACAAAAACCCAAAAAAATTGAACTGTAAAGTAAAAAAGTTTAATTACAGCTTTACAAAAAAATTGAATTCATCTAACTCCTATGTACTTCCCCTGTTTCCCTCTGTAAACTGGGACTTCCACAAAATTCAAAACTCCCTTCTCTAAATTGTAAATTCACCTCCACAGTTAACTCTACTAATCTTCACATTTTTACTGCCTCTAACTGTTATCCATCCCTCCTCTCCCTCCCAATCCTCCCACCCAGAATCCACACACAGCTCTCTAATCCTCTGCACAACCCCATTCGGAAAATCCCCGAAATCCGAAAGACCTTCCTCAACCGAACCCCAAATCCCCCTATCGAGAACACTAGTCGGCGAACACGTCTTGCCCGTCCTCACCTCCTTAACCTGCCCGAACCGAAACCCGCTCACGAAAGGATGTTCTGCCAGCTGTCCAGCCGTCCACCTCTCGTCCGGGTCAACTCTCAAGCACCTGCCCAAAAAATCCCTAGCCAAGTCGGACAAGAACTCCGGCACCTCAGGCGTCTCACCGGAAAACGCGATCCTACCAAGTGTCGACGCGTTATTGGGCCACGGCGGCCGCCCGGTGGCCATCTCCACAATCGTGCACCCGAGCGCCCATATGTCGGCCGGAAAACTCTGCCGCTCCCCCCTGGCGGCTTCCGGCGACATGTACAGCGGCGTGCCGCCGATCGCCGCCACGTCATCATGCGCCAACTTGGCGCAGCCAAAGTCGGCGATTTTAGGCTCGTCCCGGCTCAATAATACGTTGCTCCCTTTAATATCACAATGGACTATGCCTCTCGAGTGCAGGTATTCGAGCCCGTTTACGATGCCACGCGTGTATCGGCCGATGGTGGGCTCGTCGAGTGGGCCCCGGCGAACGGCGTCGGCCAGCGCGCCTCCGGGCGCGTACTCCATCACGAGGTTGAAAACGGGCCTGCGATTCTCGATGCTGACGTGGCATCCGACGTAGCCGATTATGTTAGGGTGGTTTAGAGTGGAGAGGATTTCGTGCTCCCTCTGTAAGGGCCCGGCCCGCGAGAGGTCGGCGGATTTAACGGCGAGGATCTCGCCGGAGAATCGGGCGGTGGCGGTGGACACGGTGGCGGAGGACCCGTGGCCTATGGTGTGACCTCTGATCCAATCCATTTTATTTGGTGTAACGATTTCAAGAATGTGACTTTATTTTGTTTTTGTGTGAAGTTTGATTTAATTAAGGCCTTGCTGTACTATCTGATATTTATATATATGCGCGTGGCGTGACTAATTATGAGGGTGAGGTGGCATTTTGGAATTATTTTATTTTATTTTATTTTATTTTATTTTGTTTTATATATATATATATATATATATATATATATATTTATATTTGGGTGCTGTCCAAATTAGTTGGGGAACGGGTGAGGTGGAGTGAAGGTTGCTTTAACGGCAACGTAAAAACGTGGCGACATAGTTATGGTTACTTAGCTAATTGGCACGGGCACCAATGAGAGTAGGCGAAGATGATCATTACCTGGCCGAATGGGGATCCTCCACGTGGCAACTTTGGGAACAAGGATATCGAAAGGATGTGTATCTTGTACTCAAATATTATATTTAAAAAATAATAAAACTATCTTATAATCTATAATAATATAAATATGTATTTTTTTTTATAAAATATAAATGAATTAAAACGTATGTGATATATGTATTAAACGAACCGAGCAATTTATGAGCTCGACGCTGCACAACTTATTAATATTTGAGTTCGATTTGACTCGTTAAAGATCGAGTTACACACATTAATCTTTTAATAAATTAATCAAGTTCAAATTTATTTAGTAGCTCGATTAGTTAACGATCCGAACTCGAATAGTATAGATGCATAAATTTAGAATGTAAGAACTACTCTTTTGTAAGTAATGTTCACCTACCCACGGTGACACATGTTAATATATCTACCATTTATGTGGCATGCACATATTGGTGATATATTTTTTTGAACATATTAATATCAACCATGCCACATAAGAAGTATTAACATGTGACAATCGAAAATATTATCTAACCTAACATATAAAATTTTGACAACAATAGTCCACTAAAAAGTCCAGAATTTACCGACCAATAACAGATTTGTGTACTGGAAATTTCGAAGAAGGAAGAAGAGGAAAGGATCTCTATCCGTATTAAATATTTACATTGATTAACTGATTTATATTATTTTATTTTTTTTATATATATATATATATATTAATTTTTAAAGGAAAAAGGTGGCTGACCAAGCTCCCACCTTTGCCTACAGTATCTTTTGATTCAAATTGAACTTCATCACGTATCTGACCGTTTTCCCACCATACTAAAAAATGACGTCATCAGCACGTCACGGCTTGATTTATACATATTATTATTGAGATAAAACAAAAAAAAAGATAAAGATAAAGAACGAGCAATAAGATTATAAAATTGTTTCATTTTTGATATCACATCATGAATGAAGATCTATCTGGGATAAATCGGGCAATATAATTGTGTGTTCCGGGTCAAACATAAAAAAATTATGTATGAACGAATAAATCGGCGACTCAATACAATCAGTTTAATAGTTTTCTATATCACATTTCTTCATAGATCTTTTGATTTATTCTTAGACATGCTGCTTGAATAGAGTCGCTCGCGAGCACAACTTAGTTCGTTTCGTAAAAATGTGCACTCTACTCGCTCGTTTATTTAACGATTGAATAGATAATCATTATCAATCAGTCGAGCAGGGGCTTATTAACGAATAGTATGCTTAAGGTTTTAAGTTTATTAAACGGGTTGAACTGAGGTACCAACAGTTTAAATGAGCTGAGCTTAATCGAGTCAAGTGGGGTCTGCAGCTCGATTATTGAACGAGCAAGAGCTCGAACACGAGCTACTCGACTCGGGTGGGTCGAAACAACACTCCCTATTTTGGTAATTATCAAATTAATTTATCCAACATAATTAGGCGCCGATGTGTCTAATATGTATTCATATATGGGAAATAATGCATAATTATGCATTAATTATGATTTTATGGGATATTAGTACTATTATTTATTAGTTTTATCAAATGATAATACTATATATTATATAGTATTAAATCAAATTATCAATCCTTCATGTGGTTGGTGCCTGGCTGTTGAATTGAGTTGAGCCAATAATCAACAAAAGTTTGATAAGCACAAAAGTCAAAAAGTAAGAGACCAATTGGGAACTTTATTTGACAGCCAAAATGTCATGCATGCCCTCAATTATACTATTGTTTAGTTGTTTTTAAATAATGAATGTCAACTTAGAAATTACTTGAGATGGTCTAGCCTACTAATTAAGAATTTATATATTTTGATTAATTATAAGACTTTAAGGGGACTCCTACTTTTGTTTTATTTCAAGATTTGTGAAGATCTATAAATTGATCACATATAATTGATATAGAAAATGCTACTTCACCATAATACTTGATCATAATATATCAAACATAAATAATAATATAACATTCACTAAAAAAATGATGAAATTCGGACCAAAATGTGATTTAATGGAATTCCAACATCAATTCCAATGACACTATCGGCGAATTAAAAATATATATATATATATATCTGATTGGAATTATTTTTTCGTTAGATTTTAACGATTCCAACAACAGTTTTTCAAATGGTTGAAACTTGAAACATGAATAAAAAAATTCCAACAGAAATGGAAATTTCAACAAAAAATCTTGATTGTAACTAATTTATGAAAAATTATGCAACAATAAATCGTTGAAAAAATTACTGATATTAGTTCCAACTAGAATTCTAAGAGAAATTCAATTTCAACAGAATATTTTAGTGTTGATTTCTGTTATAATTTTTATTGAAATGTTTTGCCAGTGAATTTTCGTTGGAATATGATAATTTTTTTCGTGATTTCAAAACATAAATACATATTTTTATTAAAAAATATGACTAGTCGAATGATATCTTTTTAACGATTACGTCGTTTTATATAAGAATTTGTGATACAATTTATGCGGTTTGAATAATATCTATAGCTTTCACAATTTTTAAAATAGTTGTGCAGATATTGGAAATATTTATACCTAATGAAAACGTAACTTCACCAAATTTCGAGACTTTCAATAAATACTTCTCCAAAAGCTCGTATTGATTACACATGAATTAGTTCTAAATAGTATGATATTAACACACATACACACACCCAAAAAAAAAA